ATTTTTATAATCAAAATGTACCTACTCTTATAAAATATCCCATAAATCAGATTTTTGATAATTGGATATAAATGTTTAGTGTCTATTTAGAGTAAAATGAAATATCTAAACATTTATAATAGTTTAAAAATAAAAATATTTATTATATCTTTAAATATACTTTGTGCAAATATACTTTCTTTTTTTTTCTTTTAAATATTTAGTATTATTACTATTTATTTTATCTAATTATTAAATATTCGCTTGTAGCCAAAGATAATTTTAAAATTGTAGGTATAAATAATAAATCCAAGCAAAAAATCGTATAGTAAAATCTTATTTTCGGTTCAAAAAAATCCTTCATCCATTTTGTATTTAATAATTCACATACATGAAATATATGAAATTTTTATAATTTTTACATCCTAATCAATCATACTATTGATTATGATACAAGAAATTGTAATCAAAGCTTCATGATCCACCAGTAAAATTATAAAATATTAAAATATATCTATAAATTCATAGATACGAATATTGCATAATAGTTTATACACAAAATAATTTCTTTTGACTTAATAAGTATAATTTTATTAAATTTCTTTTTGTTCAAAATTTTCTTATTATCTTTTGAATAACAGTTAATGCAATGATATGTCCGTCCCTCGTAGATTCTCTATTAGTAAATTAAATAAATAAAACAAAAAATGAGACGACATTTCAGCACGTAATATAGGATTTTTTTGATACCGTCTAAACTAAAATATATAATATATCACTCATCACTCGTACATTGATGAAGAAGACTAAGAATTTATTTCCATAAATTATTAATATTACGAATATTATAATTATTATTTATTTATCAAAGTACGTTAGATGATTTTTATTATATTTTGACTGTCTTATCAAGTCATGGTATTATAAAATTTTGGGTCAATTTTGTATGAGAATACAAAATTTTTTTTCATCATATAATGCTTCTTTTTATTGTTGAACTTGAACGTAATTTAGATAATTTTATGGTGATTTTATAAACTCAATTACATCCTCTTTAATTTATTTAGGATTGAAAAAATTAAATGTAAACAATTAAATTGATAAATAAATTAAGTACCCAACTTTTAAGGTATAATTTTTTACTTAAAAGAATGCTTTTAATAATATGAATGACTTGATTTTACTGATTTGAATATACTCAGAAAAATATTGAATGTACTTGAATTCTTAATTTTTAATGTTAATAAAATAGATTAAATCATATGTTAGATTGAAAAATTGTTTTATAAAATACTTAAATACAATTGTGATTTTTATTGTATAAAATGGTTTTCTGAGTTTATTAAAATCATTTTATAATTATATGTTCTTTTTATTAATCTCTTCTCCATAAGTTTTACATTAGCCTTTCGAGAGCCTTTGAATTAATGATATATAAAAAATTTTCATTTAAAAATTATTATAACTACATAGAAAACCTTTACATATATAAATTACCGTTTATCTTTGTATTATCTTATTAGATTCTTATGATATCCATTATTCCGTAAATGTTAATTAGTAAAATTATTAATATAAATTTTTTGGTAATTATAATAGTAGGGTAGTACAAACTTTTATATATAAAAAAAAAAAAAAAAAAAAAAAAAAAAAAAATTTAGTTAATCGATCGTCGATTATACGGTTTTCTTTTTAATTATTGTAATATTGAGAGTTTTTATCGTTATTTTACCAAAGAAGCAAACATATTATTTCTAAATTCACCGTCTTCTCTCTAGTAATTATTACATCTATTATAATACCCGATTGTTTTTATGAAAACGTGGAAAGGAACATTTCAAATCATAAACTTAACACTTATCTTTCTTGCATCTCTTTATTTCTATATATTTTATAATTATTTTTTAACTATGTAAAGAAAAGTTGAGAAAAACTTTTTCAATAATTTGAATTAAAAAAAAAAAAATACAACAACAACAACAACAACAACAAACCATTTTCTTCAAAAATATCGCTAGGATACGCAAAGCTCTCGAAAATCGCACAAACATGGAAGACGATCGGGTGGCGTTACTAGAACAGCAATTGGCCCAGGCTAAACTCATTGCCGAGGAAGCAGACAAAAAATACGAAGAGGTGGGTTTTCGACGACGATCGGCCAATAAAAAAACAATCCATTAAATCATATTTTCTTCTATATTTTCCCTTAACTTATATTCCTTTACACGATCAAACGATTCGCTTATAAATATTGGAAGAAGCAAAGATTAAATTAACGAATTTATTATTTCTTACATCCGTACGCATACTTATTTAATCGTTTGTTAATTCCATATCAGATAATTCTACATTTAAACCTATATTTAAGCAGAAATAAGTTTTTATTTAGTTATTTATTTAGTTTATCAAAAGTATAAGGAAGTATGAATTTTGTCATACAATTATTGCTTTAATAATTTAATTTTTAAATTTAAACATAAATTTTCTCGCAATTTTATTAGATAAAAATAAATAATTATTAAAATTTTCCATAATTACAATACTTATGAAATAGTATTATTGCAATTATTCGAATTAATAATAATAATGATAAGAGATAAGAATGGTATTAGTAGTAGCGGTAGCGGTAGCAATAGTAGCATCAGTGGTGGTACTAAGAGGTAGTGATATAGTAGTAGTACTACTAGTAGTAGTACTAGTGGTAAAAGTGGTAGTAGTAGTAGTAGTAGTAGTAGTAGTAGTAGTAGTAGTAGTAGTAGTAGTAGTAGTAGTAGTAGTAGTAGTAGTAGTAGTAGTAGTAGTAGTAGTAGTAGTAGTAGTAGCAGCAGTAGTGATATAGTAGTAGTAGTAGTAGTAGTAGCAGTAGTGATATAGTAGTAGTAGTAGTAGTGATATAGTAGTAGTAGTAGTAGTAGTAGCAGTAGTGATATAGTAGTAGTAGTAGTAGTGATATAGTAGTAGTAGTAGTAGTAGTAGTAGCAGTAGTAGGAGGATGAGGATGAGGAGCAGTAGTGGTGGGTGGTTGTGTTAGTGGTAGTAGTATATATTTTGTTCAAAAATAAAATGAATATTTAATTTAATGAATGTGTTTGGAATATAAAATATGAATGCATTACCAATAAGTCAGAGACATTATTTAGTGAACTTTCAATATTATTTTCTTCTTATAATTTAGCGAATCGTTCGATAACATAATAAAATAATGCACAAATTCCGTAAGTTTAAGGCATTGCAGGTTATAAAAAAAAAAAATTATATATATATATATGTATATAGTCGAAAAAGGCTAAGAGGAGAGTAAGCGGAGCTGACGCCTGTATGATATTGAATTTGTAATAAACATATTTAATGCATCTTAATAATCGTTATATTTTATCATATAAAGTGCCCGGAAGATCCTTGAGAACCGCAGCTTGGCGGATGAGGAGCGCATGGACGCCCTGGAAAATCAATTGAAAGAGGCCCGTTTCCTTGCTGAAGAGGCCGACAAGAAATATGATGAGGTTTGCGAACCCTCGGAAGCTGCCGTTGATGCTGCTGCTTGTAGTGTTGTTGTGAAAGAGAATGATAATAATAACGATGGTTCCTAGTTGATAGTCCCAATGAGATGTCACGAAAGAATATAGAAGTGCCTAACAAAATCATATATAGAGGAAGTCTGGAAAAGGGGGGACTGGGAGAGAGAAAGAGTGAGAGTTAACTTGGTTGTGTATTCATCTGTGGGGGTTAATGGTGAGCTTACAAAAATAATACAAAGCTCGCGTTTTTCAACACCCACGAATTTCAATTTAAAATATGACATATATAGTTGTTAATGGTTTATTTACTTTACGATCGAGATAGAACATATGTTTCTGTTTCGGTTACTTTCATCCGATCGATGGTGTCTCATATACGTAAAATTGTAGTACGTCTGTCACTTTTTCTCCATTTTCCTCAGTGTTGTGTGATTAGAAAATAAATTCGGGCAGAGGAAAGTGTTGGTGCTCAAAAAGTAAATGTGTGCATACCTGTGATTGTTTTCTTCATTCTTTAAAAACATAAAAGTGATGTATTTGGCAATATTGTGATAAAAATTATTTGAATTATATTTTTAACCTGTTTAAGTTGAGGGTGAAATAATGGTGCTCTGTTGCTCTTAATCATTTTTACTCGGGATTTTTAAATATTTTCAGGCGTGTTTAATGAGTTGTAAGACCATAAAACTGAAAGGCTCGTAATTATTCATGATCGTAAATAATCGTATTATTATTAATAATTGCTGTTATTCTTGTGCGCGAACTATCGACAATATTCGCACGTCTTCCAATATTTGTTTTGAATCCTTAGACAAAGGCATTAAATTGATGGCCAATTATTTTGGGGCCGAAAAACAAGAGGCAAGTTATCCGATTTTCAAATTTTTCAAATTCAAATATCTGCATTCGCGAAGCAAACACAATTCTATAAATATAATTATTGTATAGTTAAAGTAAATGCATTCGGTATACGGTTTGTATTATTATGAAAAATACAACTTTATCATTAAGATTGAAAATTTCTTTCAATTTCTTTCTACAGTATCAAAGCTTAAAAACTCCATAAAACAATGCAAAAATTTTATCATTTTCAAATAATTTAAAATTTCCGCAACATTGTCACATTTTAAATATGCATAGATCATTATTTTTTATAAATACGACTAAACTTCAATTATTTTACAATAGAAACTTTAATTTCGCGATTATGCGAATGAGAGAGCAGGAGCTCGTTATTATTTACAAATTTTGTAATCTTATGAATGTCATAATCTTTTTCTATATTCTTCAATTTGGTCTTCTGTCGCGTACGAATTCATAAGTGAAATTCGCACATATACGAGAGTATGAGAAATAAAAGAATGAAAATCTCTTGTTTTCATGATCAATACGTATAATAATGCATATAGACTTCGGTAATTTGTCACCCAAATTTTTTAAACAGTTTGCAATTATTAATTCATATTAAAGTAAAAGCATACTAAGTGATATAAGTGATAAATGAGGCCTTCATTACATGAACTAAAATTATTATTATTACATAAAAACGTTTAAAATTGAAAATTTTTTCACAATTAATAAATATAACGAATTATTATAAAATATTGTTTAATTGCAATGTACCGATGCATTTTTATTTTACTCAAATCATCTCAATTTATTGCAAATACTTGTTATCGGTACTAAATTAATAGTATTTTTAGGTATTGTAATTGTTATTTTTTATGAATTTTATCATTTTTTCATATACATACATACATACATACATATATATATATATATATATATATATATATATATGTATGTATGTATGTATGTATATGAAAAAATGATAAAATTCATAAAACGAAAACAATAATGTATTGTTCGATATAAATGAAAATATTTTATTGACTATTTTTAGTGTCAATATTTAGTTTTTATGTTTAATAGTGCATGGATTGTATTAGATTAAGTGAATTTGTAAATGTGTATGCAATCCCTTTATAAAAATATTTGAAAATACACGTTTAGGAATTTGGAAAAATCTATAAATAGAAATAATAATTATTAAATATCTTCGTGCTAATGTTTATTACATATATTCAGTAAAATAATTAGGAAAGATTAAAGATCATGATGAATGTTTAAAATATTACGGTGACAAATTCAGAATAATTTATATAATACTAATTTATATATATATATATATTTTTCGAACTACTAATTTAGGTGTTTACTATCAAAGTTTTGTTTTGTGTTTACGTGCATAATTATTAATGTACTAAATGAAATCGTTGGAAGGAGCTGCGAAGTATTGTAATTGTGCTTTTTAACGCAGATATTTTTTCTTAAAATGAAAAAAGAATTTATCGATAGTTTATTACTATTGATAATGCTCGACATTGTTTTCATTGTATTAACCACTGATTTGAACGAGCATGGTGATACCTGGACGGAAGCAGACAAATTAACAATTTATTCTTTATCACTTTATTAATTTTTTTAATTTTTTTATTTTTTTTTGGCGATTGCAGAGATCACTAACATGAATTACTACTACCTTATATCCAAGAATGTATTAAATAACATTTTATCACACTTTTTTTATTAATAATTTTTTATTTTTTGTTACTTTTGCAATTATACAGTGAATTCTCAGAGAATGCATTTTCATGCTATTATTATTAATAGCGAAAATTAAGAAATAGAGAAGTCTTATTGCATTAAATGTAAAATAAAAAATCATAATATTACAATATTCACAAAAAGTGCAATCTCAAAGAATAGTAACTCTAAAAACGCGAGAGAGACAAACGAATAAATAATTGATGTAAAATCATCGTATTTAAGTTTGGGTATTATTAAAAAAATATTGACAAATATATAAAAGTCGAGTTTATAATAATGCATAATATAATTAACAAAAGTTATATGAAATTGAAATAAATAAGTTTTCAAACTATGTACAATATATATATATATATATATATATATATATATATATTATCAAATTTAATTGTTTCTCTTTGATTAAATCAAATTTTTATGATAAAAACAAGTTTAATATCATAAGATTTATAATTCACTATTCGATCGATTTTATTTTTTGATTAATTTAAAGAAACATTGTTATCGAAATGTAGCAATGCGAGTGAACGAGTTAATTTATTTCAATAGTTGAGATTTCTGCGAAATATGTATATAAATATTTTACTTTTTTCTTTCTAAACGGACGCATTATTAATTTTATTATACGATTGATAAAATAAATTTACATATATTAATTGAGATAAATTTACAGTTTCGTGCATAAAATAGAGAGATGATCGACCTATATTAAAAAAAAAAAAAAAAAAAAAAAAAAAATTTAACAAGCATATGTTTGTTACTTATTGTTTTATTTTCTTTGATGCATAAAACAAATAAATTTATGAAATATCAATGGTATATATGAAAAATATGATACTTCATAAATTACTATGTTTGTCGTTTGTCTCGAATGATAATCGCAAATGAAAAGAGATAAAGAAGTTTTGGAAAATGCCAAATAAGTCAGAGAGATTCTTGGATTACGTTTGCCAGTGGTGATGATGTTTATGTCCTTAGGTCGCCCGTAAATTGGCCATGGTCGAAGCCGATCTGGAGCGTGCTGAGGAACGCGCCGAAGCTGGCGAATCGTAAGCACACTCGCTACTTTTCATTTAATTAGCAGTTTACTTTGTCGTGTGCGTCAATGTGCCCCGTCATTGCGCCCCAAAAGGCAATATCGATTCTTTCCAAGTATCGCGCGCACATCTCTGTTGTAATTTGCTGCGTTCTGATCTCCCCGAGCGCTTCACTATGCTTAGAAATAATCGACATCATAACACGCTTCTATGTGTACATAATTTTTATAGTTTATAGATATTAACATTATAATTATCCTTTTATTATTTACCTTATTCGAGTTTTGATATGTATGTCATTTTGATGTTTGGTTATTGACTTTGACTGCTCGTTGAATTATCATGTTTAATAAAAGTAATAGAGAGTTTTGTAGATTCTGCATTAATTCATTTTATAATCTACGTAAATTGTGATTGAAAATTATGATTAAATGCAGTTTCACTTTATTAAGAATTATCCTTTTGATTGAATTTTCATCGACCTATCATAATGAGAGAGTAAAATCAATACTGAAGGAATATATCGGGATGAAAGCGAGCGTAGCCTCAATTTGTATGAGACAGCAAACCAGTCAAAGACAATTTTTTTTATATTTTGCAACAAATTTGTGAATAAAATTTAAGCGAAAGATAAGCAATTCACAGACACTAGATGTGGAAGCAGCAGGAGTTCAAGCAAGGATCAGGATGCGGCCGACGAACCATTTATTTATTCATATTAGCATGCATCTTAGTGCTATTAATTTATCCTTGTCCCATCCATCTATAAACGTAGATAATTGTCCTACTGATTATAGAAGCTTATTTGGCAATTAGCATGATTTTTTGTTTGTGTTGGCAATTGCTCACAGGTGGCCAGAAAGCTAGTCATGATGGAACAGGATCTTGAACGCGCCGAGGAGAAAGCAGATCAATCGGAAACGTAAGTCTGCACTGACTCCTGGCACGATCACTGGCCCTGAGCTTTCTTGTTTTTCTTTCTTTCTTACTTTTTTTCCTCCTTTTTTTTTTTTTTTTTTTTTTTAATCGCCGTATCTCACATTTATTCAAGCGCATTTGATAATCCATGTATTTGTATTCAGAATGACTAGCTTTATATATCTCTACTATATCTTATCCTCAATGTTTTCTCCTTAACGTCTCTGATATACTCAATATTAACAGGATTATCTATTAAATACAATAGAGAATGTAAGACATAATTATATAATATTATAATTTTAAAATCTCAATATTTCATTGATAAACACTTGATTGATTATAATTTATTAATTTTCTTAATAATACTCGAAACTTTCTTTACATCTAATCCGAGAAACTTCTATTTTACATACAATATCAATACATAGCAAGGTTGCCAGCAGCATAATTTATATAATTATAATCAAGTAGCATTTAATTATAAAATTCTCTGGTAAATCTGCACCAGTACACCTGCAATTAATCTATGAAATGTAATAAATACAGTTAAAACTCGGAAGATTAACAAATTTATTAATAAGCTAAGAATATCGTATTGTATTGTTTATATTTTAATTTTTAGAAAAGCTGCGCTTCCTTTTACGAAAAAATAAACGGAACGTAATACGCGTATATCGTCATAACTCGCTATAGAGGGCGATAATGAGCTTAATTTTGCATTCTGTGTTTTATGATCGCTTAAAAATTGGCATTGTCGGATGTTGATTGGAACAGTTGATGTACAAACACGATTAATTGAGAAACAATAGTAATGAGTAATCAGCATGTGCTAAATAAAAATAACCCGTGAATACACAGAATTTTAAAATATTTTTTATACTTATGTCTGGACAATCTATACTCCCTTCGTCTACCAATATTATAATTATAGTCTCATTACAATTATATACAATTATACTGATTTCGTAAGAAAATACTGCGAACGATAATTATCAGTATGTTATCACATCAATTCTTTTTTGCAGAAAAATCGTTGAATTAGAGGAAGAACTACGTGTTGTCGGCAACAACCTTAAATCTCTTGAAGTGTCGGAGGAAAAGGTATGCTTATTATATAATTATTTACTAATCCGATAACATAAATACAACGTGTCATGAAATATTAAAGCCAATCGTATTTTTATCGTCATTAAATTTAAATGAAATTTGCATTATCGATTAATTGACAATCTGTTGTAGGAGCTTATATTATTTTCACTTATAACTGCAATAGGTAATAAATAATTTTTCCCTAATTAGACAATTGTTATCAAAAAATATAATGATTATAAAATTTGAAAGTCAATTTTTAAATCATTAATCCAGGTATTCGTACGTTTGTTATTTTGTCAATAAAGTTTCGTTTAACGGGAAACTCATTATTTCAAACAATAAACATAATGTTTATTGTAAAAAAATTCACTATAAGTCGAAATTACATTCATTAATACTAAGAGAAGATTTTATAAATCAATATAAATTGGTCTCTATTGTAATATGAATCAACATTACAATAAACAGATGTATAATTTTGGTTGAAAAGCGGTGAAACTGCAGTTTTTCTTAAAGCGATGAAATTTATATATAGAGAAATTATCGATATAGTGATATTGAAATAATGATATTGAAATATTCTAAATAGGCCAATCAACGTGAGGAAGAGTACAAGAACCAAATTAAAACCCTGACAACTCGTCTAAAGGAGGTACCTGTGTCTTTCCAGGGCCTTTGCTAGATTTTCTTTCTTTGTTGTTTATTTTAATTCGCCGTTTTTGAAAGCACACGCTCCTTTATTACGAAACTAACATTATACTTGTTAAGGATATAGTATATTACGAATTTTATAAATCTGAATTTTGAAAAATAGAAATTGTATGAGCTTTGATCGAATAAGTGAATCATCTAAATTAACATTGTAGAATTTTTAAATAATAATTTTTTTTATCAATATAGGTATACACAACTTGTATATCCGATAAATTTATTGTCTCATTTTACAATAATTAGGTTACGGGAGAAATTTTCACAATCATAGATAAAGTTTGTTGTTCTGTATCCTTGATTGAAATCGCAATAATGCCGTATTTGATAAGTTGCATGACAATTTAAGCAATTATTTATTATTAACAATGCTTTTGAATGTATGTCATTTTTTACTAAACAAGATTTTTGTTTTCTCTGTGTGGTTTTTTACTTACCACTAAATTAGGCAACGCAAAGGGAAGAATCTTTCGAGGGTCAAGTGAAGATTTTAGACAGTCAATTGAAAGAGGTAAATAATATTCTTTTCATTCATACCGTTATAAAAAAAAAAAAAAGAAAAAATCTTTTAAAAAAAATACTTACAAAAATTTATGACCTGTTCAGGAAGAGAATTTTTTAATATTCTAATTCTTTTTTGGTCCATATAATATTTATTTACTTCAGACGTTATTTCGAGATAAAGCAATTTCTAATCGAGTAATATTTAGGAACGATATCATTATTAAAATATATAAGAAATAAAAATTATTATTGCTCGTGTATGAAATTTATTCATTGGAGAAAGAAAATTTTGAGCCAGTAAGGTAATTTAAGAGAGTTATTAACGTCAAACGGTGTTTTATAAAAAAAAATGGGCTGAAAAACTTAAATTTTATGTTCTCATTAAAAACTAAAAGTTTAGGATTCCATTAAATCATGTTTTCAGAACTTTAAGATCTACTATATTAAATCGTAAATTAAAATTTTAGTTGTATTATAATATTATTATGCATCATTATAATTAGTATTTTTTCTGTCAAATCAAGCCATAATATAATTTGATAATTAGTTATCTGTATAATGAAACGATTATTATTATTATAAACTAATTATTAATTATTTAAATTCAATATTAAATATTTTATTTATATGTTATATAATGGTAAAATATCATTACAATTATATAATTTGTGTACTAGAAAAATTTCAGACAAAGATAAAGTAATAATGTGGCAGATGACAATAAGATTATTCAGGTACGATAGATCTGTTTGCAGTTTGAATATGAGTAATATTTCTCCTATACATATATTATGATAACAACTAAACAAATTAAACTGTCGATGAATGATCTAATATGTAATCATCTAATAATGATTTGACTTTTACTTCTGTGCATGTTACAAGTGTGTCGATATTAATTAACAATCATGTTTTAATTGAATTTTGCTTTTTCATAATGAAAAATTAAAAAATAAAAAAGTAAAAAAAAAGTAAAAAAAGTAAAAAAAAAAGTTAATAGGCAATCGTGTCTATTAAAAGTAACTGTTTATTTCGAATGTGTAAATGTAATAGTCTAATGAATACAACAATTGTATTTTTTTTTTTTTTTTTACTTTTTTTTTTACTTTTTTTTCTGTTTTGTAAATCTCTTACAACATAATCCTGTTTTCAGGCTGAGGCCCGCGCTGAGTTCGCCGAAAGATCCGTGCAGAAACTCCAGAAAGAAGTCGACAGGCTCGAAGGTGTGTATTTCTCTTTGATAATACTAATAATAATAATAATAATAATTTAATAGATATCAAAGTAACTGATAATAATGAGAAATCATTAAAGTCAGCTTATTTCCGTAACGGTGACTAATGTAATTTTATTCGTTAAAAATCATTGATTATTTATATTTCGATATCATAAGTATATGTTTATATATATATATATATAACATAGTTTATATATATATCGATATCATAAATATATGTTTATATATATATATATATATATATATATATATATATATAGTTTTTAGTAATTATTAATAATTAGTTCGAACAAATTCTTATTATATTGGACATTTCAAGTTCATGTTTTCAAAAAAATTCTAATTGAAATAAAATTCAATATTAGATATTATTAAATGCCATAAATTTTTAAATCTTATGCAGTCTCAGAATTACTAGAAGTACAAATAGCTTATTCTGATAAATAATATGAACACCTGAGCGACAATTAAACGATAAAATCAATTTTAGATGCCTTACTAATAGCACTTAATAATGATTCATTATCCGTTCTTAAATATTATAAACATCAGTTATTGATAAATTAATTGATATTTTTTCTGTATTCGAATATACGAGTAAGTTGATCGTTTGTTTAAGCTCTCTACAGTGTTCCATTTGATACAAATCCTTGATACAAATTCACACGAAGTATGATTGTATATGCACTGCCATACAATCGATCGATCCTTTATGAAAAATCATTCCTTTAATTCCAATTCTTTATGTTTAATTAGGGAAAATTTTTTATACTTTGATACACTGAGCACACGCGCTCATTATATAAAATATATTTTCAAACGCTATAGAAAATTATTCAATAATACAATTGGCACGAGAATGCATCACGTAATATGAAATAAATATAAATATCAGCATTAATTCAAATTAAAAAATTAATTTTTCTCAAAGGATCTAATAAAATATCAATCCCATACACGTAGCCTCATTCCAAAAAAAAAAAAAAAAAAAAAAAAAAAACAAACAAACAAACAAAAACAAAAACAAAAAAAAACTCAATTTGACCAATGTTTAATTCTATTTTAATAAACGAATTAACGTGAAGAAATAATCATTAACAAACTAGTGCACGTCAAAGTTACGCTTTTGTCTTTTTTTACGCGAGAGTGGCCTTAACCAGTGATATTTACAGAAGACCTTGTTGCCGAGAGAGAAAAAAACAAAATGCTGCAAGACGAGATGGAGGCAACCCTGCATGACATCCAGAATATGTAAAACACGCTTCCAAATATCCCTGACGTGGTTTATATTGTGGTGCAAAATACCTAAACAGAATACGGGACATGAAAAAAAATAAAAGCTACAGTCTTTAAGTTTAATCTTTACTGCTCCTTGTGAGAGAGAAAAGAAAGAATTTATGGGAAACAAAGCGATGCGACAGACAATAAATGGGAAAAAAAAGAATAAAACAATTACTGAATGAATGCGAGGATTCAAAAATTAAAACATGACCGTCTGATAAATAAAGATTTATAGAATATAATCGTGCATTTAACTCTTATGCACATGAGATGCATTAACACAGATAAGCGATTACGAATGCACGCATTTTCGTAAAAATTTTTTTTTTTTTTTTTTTTTTTTTTTAAGAAAGCTTTAGTCTATTCGATTATAAAATGGATCATTGCAATAACTATTAAGGGTAAGAAAAATTCGGACAAATGTTGCAAACCTTACGTTTTATTATATTTTAGCATTTCAAGCGAACTTGCTCCCTCTTGATCGCTTTTTCATAGAGAATATTCTGCAATAGTGAGTAATCGGATAAGCATTTTATTTTTAAATTAGAACTTAATATTATTTTCACACGAATTGATCGTCGATAAGTTATAACGAATCGCGTCTCTTATGCCTTTAAAAAAAAAAAAAAAAAAAAAAAAAAAAAAAAAAAAAACCAATGTATTTTATATTTGTCGAAAGCTATTTTTTCATCTTTATAGTTTTAATTTTCTATGAGAAGCCAAAATAAAGATTCCATTATTTTCCAAATAAATTCAATATTTTAACGCATAAATATGTTCGGAGAAGCATTTTTTATTGTGATAATGTGAATTCATCAAGATCATTGCTTCCCTGGATAAAACTAAAAGTTTGAGATTTCGAAAGTAATTAATCTAAATGAAAAGTGAAAACTAATTTTTTATTAGCCGAGACTTTGTATCGTTACGAATTTCGATTAATTTTGATAGATTCATCTTTTAATGTAAGCGTCGCTTGAGATAATAAGAATAACGTCTAAGTTGCTTAAATATGTAAAGTTAATATAAATATAAAGCGGTAAATTGATAGTTAATTTCGCGGGACGAATTTGCACATATTTTTATAAAAAAAATTTCGAGTGTTGGTTATTTTGGTAAAATAAGTTAATTATACTAAGTTTTTAAGAAAGGAAAATATTAAGTTAGAAAGCCAAAACTGTTTGAATGTTGCATCGTAGGATTTATAATAACTAATAAAAATATGCAAATAATCATACAATTTAAGCATTCCGTCGATACGAACGTCCAAATAAAAAAGAAAAAAAAACAACAACAATGTATTAGTTTATAAATATCGCCATTAACGCGTTTCTATTTTTCATACACAACTCACGATGAGCAATGTTGCTGCTGTGTGAGAACGATTATAAACGCTCTATATATATTTTTTTTTTCCTTATCCTCGTAAAAACGGAGAAAACATATGGTTTAATACCACCTTAAGTGAAATTAATACAGTCGTACTCCAGCCTTAGTTACCAAATTTGTTTTCACTCTCTCCATTGTACGAGCGTAATATTATTGTCTCTTAATTTATTTGAATTGCGATTGAATGTCAATTGAAACGGTTGCTCTTATTATAAGGAAATTCTTTTATTTGTATTTAAAAGTCAAAAAGAAAGACAAAGATTATCCAATTATTATAATATTACACGATGAAAAATAACGTTGGTTTAAATTTTTACATGAACAAAACTATTTTATTATTGATGCATCAATTGGTAACGTGTAAAAATGGTATTTATATTGAAATAACGTTAAGTACTTGGAGAAAATTAGAAAGTTTTTTTATTAATATTTCAAAACTAAGCTTGGTTGTGTATTTC